TGCCAGCAAGATTATCACCAAAAAATGTTGTACTTCCATAACTTCATCAGTAATGCACGCATGAATAACATAAGCCTGTAGTGATGAAATGGGGGTTGGTGTGTGCTGGATTGGCTGACATGGCCACACCTGCAGAGAAATCAGCATAGCTCAGTCTGCTGATGTGAAAGGAACAGGGTTTATTTGGCTGAGATGCACGCTTGTAATCCGTTTGCTGTTAATTTCTTTGTAGAGGCATCAGGAGTCTCTCAGCTCTTTCATATTTAGCAAACAAGAGTCTCTAGTCACCTGCCTAGTTGAGATGTGAACATACCAGTTTATCATGATTATTTATTTATTTGTTTGTTTATTGCAATGCTGGAGATTAAACCCATGGCCTTAAGTGTTCTAACACTAAACCAAAACCCCACCCCATCACTTAGTGACAAGGCAATGCTAACTCTCCTAATATGTAGAAGGCACTAAAAAAACTACCTGTAGCTGGTAGTGCTCCATTGAACAGAAAAAATAAAGCAAACGTTTAACGAAAGTCACTTTTTACATATAGCCTATCTATGGATATAGAAAGAGATTCAACTTTTTAGGACAAGGACCACATCTCTTTTTGGAAGCCAGGACTTGAAAGAGGGCCTGATGTTTTTTCAGACTCACCTAGTCATTTAAAGCTCTTGCCTTGTTTTGAGTAGAACTATCAGTAGAAAATGCATTCTCGGGCTGGCAGAGTGGCTCAAGTGGTAGAGCACCTGCCGAGCAAGCATTCAAACCCCTACCTGACTCTGAGTTCAAACACAATACTGGCCAAAAAAAAAAAATGCATCTTGAAAAACTACACCAAGGTGCAGGCCAAATACATGCTTTATGTGGCGTAGACCAAGAGAAGGTCAAGTTCATCTTGATGTTAGAATTTTTAATTCTTCAATGTACAAGCCTACATTATCCTATGTCATTCATATGCCCTCTAATACCAGATCCTTCATGAGCCAAACAAAAAGTATTGCCTACACTGAAAAGAGCCCAGATTCCCGAATGTGCTCATGGTCATGGTTACTGGATGGATCATACTGAGAAAAGAAAAATGAAGTCAGACTCTTTATTGCAGGCTGTGAGCTGTTCTCTATGAGCTAGAAGTGGAAAGCCACCCCTTATAGGCACCCTACAGATAGGAAAGGGCTATCTGTGAACATGTATGGTAAAAGTCAAAGTCTGACAGCATTTGGCCTCTGTGGACAGCAGTTCCCAAAGTGAACGGCCTCCACTTAAGGAGGAGCCTCCCAGAGCTGGGCTGTGCTATTGGGTGTGGGCAAGGTTGGAGTACAGCTTCCTGGGAGAAGCAGTGTGGAACAGGAATGAGCTTCTGTAGGGATGGACATGAGCGAGGGAGGTGACTACAGCAGGAAGGAGCCCAAGCAAAGAAAAAATTTCCAGGACAGGCCTTGGCCCCGGTGGTGGCCTCCCAGAGGGCCTGGACCTGTCCTGGAAGGGTACAAACCTCAGTCCCTGATTGTCCTGTGATTTACACCTCTGGATCTTTGCCCAGACTCTTTCCTTACCAGATTCCCCCTTACCTACATGTGCCCCCCATGGAAACTCTGACCTGCCCTATAAGTGTTCCTAGATGTCAGAAAGGCCTCCTGTTCCATCCAACTTCCTCATTTATATACGTCTTATGCTCCCATATGCAAGGTTTGAGGTACAGCCAGGGGCGAGTCTCAATCATTTGTTCCAGGTCCCCTTCTTACCATCCCTGGTGTTCTAGCCAACTGGAAAAGTGTCTGTCTCCCTGGCCTGGGCTGGATTGTCCCAAAGGGGCAGAATCAGCTGTCTGGCCCACCTCTTCTCCCAGCATCAGCACAGGCCCTGGCTGTTCAGGCAGAAATGATTGATGATGTGTGTTCAGTTGGAATTGATGGCAGGAGGCCCAGAGTCTGCAGGGATCTGGGACCTGGGCCCTAGCTGTGCCATTCTGCTGTATTTTCCTGGACAAATGCATCTCTTTCAAGAAAATTTGGGAGGTCTATCACTCGGCGCCCTGGGCAATCTACGTTTGTCCATCCACACCAGTTCTCTAGTTCCCATCACTTCTGGACATGCCTCCATTCTCACGCAAAGGATTACCCATCCTCCGTGACCCCTACTTGACCTTGAACACCTACTTAATCATGAACACGTAGGGGTAGGAGTTGTGTCACCTCTCAGCATGGGTCAACCCTGGCCTGCAGGAAACCAATATGGTCAGTCCTGGGACTAAAGAATTGTGAATGGTAGGATCAGTACTTTGCAAAGATGTATATGAGAGACAGTTCCAGACTAAAGGTGACACCTCAAATTTGTAAAGGCAAAATACATTTACATTGTACCCTGGCAATGGCTCAAAGAGTTAAAGGAAGAGTTAGGAAATGATCTTGGAACATCATGGTGAACTCCTTTCACTCACTTTACATACAGATTTATTTAAGGAGTGTACATGGAGTCAACTACTGTAGAAGAGAAGAGGAAGCAGGGTTGGCCTCAGCTAGCCCTAGAAGGAGTTTGAAGGTTAGAATGACCATTCTGAGTTGATGTAAGAACATTGAGCCATTTTACCCCGGTGATAAGCAAGCTCTGCCTGAGGCCACCTGGGAAGGGAATCTCAGTTGTGGCTGTCCAGGAAAGGTGCTGACAGCCAAGGGATGTTTCCTGAAAGAGAATCTTGTGGTACCTCGCAGCACATGCTCCCTGAACCCCTGGACCTAAGTCCATCCCTGTAGGGATGTGAGCTTGTGCAACCACGAGCTCGGGATTTCCTGCCTTTGCCAAGAACTTTTAATCAGATTAATATAAGACTAAGTCCTTCAGATAGCATCAGTAAAGCCTTCTGCTCTCAGGGTAGGGACATTCTAGAAATAAGGTTCAGAAAAGCTTGTTTACCAATAGAGACAGAGTCTCACCCACTGTAAATTGATTAAAAAGTCTTCCTTTAAAGTATGTTACTGGTGGGGGAAAGGTTGAGGGGGAGAGACTATGGGGACAATGTAAATAAATGTACAACATAAGTCTAATCGGAATTGTCACTATGAATCCCCTCGTTTATAATGAATATATCCGAATAAAAAATTTATGCAAAAAAACAAAGTATGCTACAAAATGGGTAAACCAGAAAAACATGGTAAATAACAAAAAAGGTCACATATTACATAATCCAATTTATATGAGAAATACAGAATAGGTAAGTCCATAGACATAGACTTGGACGTACCTGGAATTCCCTCTCAGGCGTTGAAATGTTCTTGAACTAGAGAGAAACATGGTGATTGTACACACTGAATGCACTAAAAATGGCTAATTCTGTTATGACAATTTCACCTCCATTAAATAAATGAGGTCACACACACACACCCCACACTCTTCCCTGGGAGCACTCCATTATATTAAAACTGATCCTCTATTGGTAATTTTATTTTATCATTCTTACAATTACTTACGTGTGTTCATTTTTGGGCCACCTCCCCCCTTCCCCCCTTAGTGGTATTTTTGAATAACTGGAAATTATCAAATATTGTTACTCTGTCTTTAGAAAATATTTAGATTGCACAAGGCAAGCTAAATAGAATTGCTTGTATTTAAAATTTTTCATGCTATTCTAGTAAACACTAAATAGATAGTGAAATCGTAGAACTGTAAGCAACTCATTTATACACAGAAAATAATTTCTGTTTATAGTTAAAGGATATTTTCCTACAAAAGTTTGCAGTGTTGTGATTCACACACCTTAAAAGTTTGTTGAGCTGGGCACTGGTGGCTCACGCCTGTAATCCTAGCTACTCAGGAGGCAGAGATCAGGAGGATGGCGGTTCAAAGCCAGCTGGGATAAATAGTTCACGAGACCCTATCTCGAAAAATCCCATCACAAAAAAGAGCTGGTGGTGTGGCTCAGGGAGGCCCTGAGTTCAAACCCCAGTACTGTAACAATAAAAGTTTGTTGAAATAACCATCTAGCAAGCATGAGGCTCAGAGTTCAAACCCCAGCACTGGGCTGGGATGTAGCTCAGTGGCGCTGGGATGTAGCTTGGTGGTACAGCGCTTGCCTAGCATGCGTGAGGCTCTGGGTTCGATCCCAGCACCAAAAAAGAAAAGACAAAAAAAAAAAAAAAACCTCTCCCCAGCACTGCCAAAAAAAGAAAAATTGAAATAAAAATGATAAGAGAGCTCATGGTCTCCAAAGTGATTCTTTTTTTTCCTAAGGTACACTGCAAACAAAAAATACTTGATGAAAATTATTCATCTCTTACCAGCACAAGGTGAGGAATGTGAGTACTTTCCTGTCAGGTGTTTGCTGACTGAAAGAATAACTGTAAGTTTTATTTGTTTGAATCTAAAAATAAACTGAATTAAACTATATTTAAACAAGAACTGCTCTCTCCCCCCAAACACTCCAGTATTATTACTGGGCATAGTCTGAAGTTCCAAAAAAGAAATTTAATTTGAAATAAAAAGAATGGTCCAGGACTGGCAGAATGGCTCAAGTGGTAGAGCGAGTGTCTGCCTAGCAAGTGTGAGGCCCTGAGTTCAAACCCCAATACTGTAAAAGAAACAGGAGGAAGAGAATAACCCAACAACTGTGAAATAATTAAGATACGAGGAACTTTTCAGAAGAAAAAGAAGGTGTCAATTTATAATTTGCCTATTATTAAAAGTGAGTCAAACTAACTACCCTTTCCCTACACTCTCTGGTAAAAGAATCATTTATAAATTTTATTATTTTTCAAAAATATTCTATTAGCATTCTTTTTTTTGACAGTACTGTGGTTTGAACTCAGGGCCTTACACTGCTAAGCAGGCACTCTACCACTTGAGCCACTCCACCAACTCAAAAGGATACTAAATTTAAGGATTTTGTATAAAATGTTTTGTGAATCCATGTCTCACCAAAAAAAAAAAAAAAAAAAAGCTTCACGCACAAAAGAAACTATAAGTTAATAATTATCATAAAGGCTTTATTGATCCAAAAGTTTGTCATCAAAAATAAGCACTGTATGACTCTAGTTGTAATAACACAATTTAGATATATTTTCTCCCTTTATAATTCAATAGTAAAACCTGAGAATGATTCTTCTAATTATTATTACTTTAAACTTATTTCATTTTTCAGATACCATCCTTAGAAATAAGTATAATCATTTAAGTATGTTAATTTCTGTTCCTTAAAAAAATTAATCACAGATCAAGAGACATCAGTTGGGACAAAAAAGGCATTTCCTTCAGGAGTAGTTTTTGCATAGGTATAATCAATAACAACATCACTAAAAGAACTGATTTTTCCCATACAAATTATAAACTCTTATAAACCACAGTGCTTGTTCTCAAGATGTTGAGGCACTCAGGAACCAAATTGCTGGCTCTTTCCTTCACTTAGAGGTTGGCTTTCTTCTTAAAAGACTCCTTCATCCTCTTGACAACAGAAAGATCCCCAACTCCCTCCGGCCAGTTGTCATGATCTGTTAAGTAAGTAGAAAAACCTCCATGTCACTTGCAAATTGTAAACTTCTGTCCTCTTAATTTCTACCCAGTCGTCTTGTTATTGTTTCCTGACTCACCCATGAGGAAAAAAAGAAATTCTTTGGACAGGTAGCATAGGTTTTGCAACAAGACCTGGATTTGAATCCCACGTCTGCCACTGGCTGGCTCTTCTAAATTGGGGAAAGTTACTCTCCTTCTAGAAAGGAAGACTTTCTGTTGAAGGGAATAACATCTGCCTTTAAAAGTTGTGAAGGTGGATGGGGGCATGACTCAAGTGATAGAGAACCTGCCTAGCAAGGACAGGGCCCTGGGCCCTGAGTTCAAACCCCAGTACTGCCAAAAAAAAGAAAGAAAAAGGAAAATTTGGAATTTGTGAGGGTTATACGTACAGAGCATGGCAAACTGCAGACATTAAATAATGTATCTCCTCAGTAAGAAAAATTTAAATAACATGCTAACTTTACAGTTGCCTCCTCAGCATCCAGTCTCCATCTCTTCTTTCCAACATCATCTGTTTCCATCTGGGATTCCTCGAGGGATCTGGGGAAGTTACCCAGCCCTGGCTCCAGGTGAGGGGGTACATGATATAAGCTGTCAATCAATGCTTTCCGTCTCCCTGGCTGCAGTTATTGGCTGAGGATGGACAACTACAGTAGCTGGTCTAAATAGCATGGTTCTCAGAATTTTGTAAGAAAGGCTAGAACAAAGTCTTTCCCCTCTCTTCATTCTCAAGTCCAGCTGGATGAGAACAGAAGAAGGAAGCATGTGGCTTAGGAGCAGCTGGCTGCATCCTGTCACCAGGAGAGCCAGCACTGAGAGCAAAACAGAAGACAGGGAAAAGAGAAAGATTCTTTGAAAGATCCCTGAGCTGCCCAGTCAAGTCTCAACTGCTTTTTGGTTACATGAGCAAGCCCAGCCCCACCAGAGCTGGTAATCTTAAAACACCAAGCTGAAAGACTGAACATTCCTGGCCAATATTTGGGGGCAGAAGATTCTTAAAAGGTAGATATGGCTACTTCCTCACAAACTTAAAAAATATTGTGCATCGATAAGAACAGTGTTAGTTACATAAGAAAACCATTTCACTAGAGGCCTGGAGAAGCAGTCATCCCTAATTTCTTTCTCTAACAGAAAAATAATGTAACTCACCATAACAAATACCTAGTCAACTCTACTGTGAGCGAAGTGCAAAGGTTCACTCCACACTCACTATTTTGAAATTTTTTGGGGGGGGCAGCACTGGGGTTTAAACTCAGGGCCTCATGCTTGCTAGGGCAGGTGCTCTTACTGCTTGAGCCACTCCACCAGCCCCTACCCACACTATTTTAAGTGCTTTTGAAACAATATTGCATAACAATGTAGACATTTTTGTCTTTCCAAAGCAGGTCTAATAACCATAGTATCTTAGGAACATCACTACATTGATATTATTAGCAAGAAATATCTAAGGGAAGGCAAATAAGAAGCAAAATTAAAGTTCTATACTAATCATTTATTTTATTTTATTGTGGTACTGGAGATTGGCCCCGGAGTCTCATGTTTGCTAGGCACTAGGGAAGCACTTTGCCACTTGACCTATGCGTCCCAATCCTGTTGTTTTTTTGTTGTTTTTGAGACAGGGTCTTGCTAACTTTTCCCAGGCTGGCCTTGAATTTACAATCCTTCTGTCTCTGTCTCCTGAGTAGCTGGGATTATAGGCATACACCACCATGCCTGGCTTATACCAGTCATTTATTAATGCATAGAAAGTCTTTTGCCTTGATTAGACTGGCAGCCCAGGAAGAGTGGGTTGAACATGGGTCCCTAATAGGGAATTCAAATACACTACTAACCACTTAATCCAAACTATCTTTAGCAAAATACATTTGTGTTTTATAACTTTTTCTATGTTTATTGAGTGACTTAAAATTTTTTAAATACTTTTTAATTTCTGTGGATTTGGTTCACTTGTAAAATTAGGATATTAGACTATCTTATTTTGTAAGATCCTTTCAACCCAAAAGGTCTCTGTTCTAGGCATGAGATACAAACATACACATATAAATAAAGGCATTTGTGTGTATCATTATTGGGTTGAATTTATAAAAGTACTATTTTTTACACATCAGAGATGATTCAATAAAAAAATTTCACATGCTTTCACTTAATACATACCCCAAAAAGAGGGCAAAATAGTGTCATACTACCCCTCCCCACTTAACAGTCAGATGTGCCAGGCACTTACTGGAGACAAAAAAGGAATTACATCTTTAAACCTTAAATTTATAGGAACGTTTTGCCTCTTCTCCATCATTCCTTGTACTCACATAGACATTTTTTCAAAGTTCACATTCCATCAACTTATGCATGCAAACCTTTTTCAACATCTAACCCTAAATTCTGTACTAAATATATATATATAGATACTTCCTGACTAGGAACATTTTCTTTATGAATATAAGCATTTTGCATATTTTGATATAAGAGAAAAGCTCTAGCTCTTAAGTAGCGACTTAAGAATTTTTGAACACCTGAACATGGAAAGGCATACAGCTAGTGACTACTCACTCCCCAGATGCTCACCTGGTATTGAATACAACCGAGTGTACAGAGACTGGCCCCCGTCCACATCCACCAACTGTCCAGTGATAAAGGAAGCTGCAGGAGACAGCAGGAAGCAGACCAAGGAGGAGACCTGGAAACAGAAGCACACACACATCACAGCAACAGCTCCAATCCATTTCTAGGTGCTTCACATTCTGGGGTAAACACATCTCAAATGACAGGACTGTAACAAGAGCCCTACATATACGTGCACCATCATCTGACAGTACCTAGATGACTTCCTGAAATCAGGAAGTGGCCAGGGTAAAGGGGGCAAGATAGTGTCAAGGAAGTGACACAATGTAAAGAAGTCAAGGCGAACATGAGGTGGAATCTCTGCTTTTTCCCACTGCAAACAGGCCATTTCCTTCCATTCTCCTCCATGGACCCATTTTCCAGCACTTTCAAATCCTTCTTATATTTTGGTCCCTGAAATAGCCAACATGTCTGTGTAGCAATCCATTGGCATTCTGACTTATTCAATCTATAGCCTTGTCAGGTCAAAAGCTCAACAATGCAGATCAGAGCATTTCAGAGGCTAACCTGACCCCTAAACACTTAGAGCTGACTAATGAGCTCAGAAACACCTACTCCCAAACCCAAACAGAAAGAGAATTTATTTCACTGGCTAGAAAGAAACAGAAGTTGCGTTTCTCAAAGGGAGATGTTCCAAAACACCTGATCATCCTGACTTCTCTGGGGACTTTTTCCCTGTGCTTACATTGATAATGATGGTGCCAAAGCAATGAAGGGAAAAACTGCTGGAGCCTTAACATGAATCATAGCAGGAACACAAAACCCAGTCTCCATTACACAAGTCATTCTGTTCATCTGCGCGGTGGGCTCACAGGACAAGGGGAGCAGTTCCACTTGACCTGTCCTTCATGGAACACTATAAAGTAATGTGTTAAATCTCGACCCCTGGGTGCACACCTTTGTAATGCTCTGTGTGATGAAATGGGAAGTACACACACACACACAAACATAATTTGTTCTGTGGCGCAGAAAGGAGCAATGGCCATCTCACAGACAAAGCACGTGCAATTGAACTGAGAAATTAACAAGCCACTTTTTTCATGAAACACTGTTTTTTACTTGACAGAATGACTGGCACTGCAGTTACTCACACTTAGGTATTTGGCAGACATTTTTTTTCCCAAAAAATGAACTAAGTGAGACTATCACTTCAAAGGAAAATAACTGACAGTATTTGTTGTCAATGGTAAACTTTGTGCTTTCACGTGAACATTAGAATTTTGGAAAACCTGCACCTGCCATCATGAACTTATCAGCTTCCTAATACTGATAGACTTTTCCAAAGAGACAAGTAGAGATACTAAAAATGTGATCTTTTGATATTAGTGAATGTTGTGTCAACACTTATAGGATCTGCATAACTCAGTGATCTGGTATTTTCCAAAGGACCAAGGCCCTGATGTCATGTGACCATATATGGGCAAAAGATCCAAAGTGTGAAAAGGGTTATGTAACAGAGTAGGAAAAGTTCACTGACATGGTTTCAGATTCTACATGGCAACTAATCTGTAAGAAACTCTCACCTGTTGAATATCAAAAAAGAATAGTCACATTTATCTGGAAAAGCTATTAAAATGGTCCTTTCTTTTCTAACTATCCATCTGTAAGAAGTCAGATTTCCTTCTTATGCTCTAAACAAAACAACCAACTGCAACGACTAAAAGCAGAAGCAAAAGTGAGACTCTGGTCTTATATCCTTAAGCCATACATTAAAGAGATCTGTGTGTCAAACTAATGTAAAAAAACTGTTTTGTTTTGGAACATATGGCTTTTTTTTCACATAAAATGTTATTTTTGTTAACACATAATGCCTGTAATTTTTAATGAAGTAATAAATATTTCTTAAATTTCTTGGTTTAAATTTCCAATATGGGATAGACAATATAATTCATATAAACAAAATCTTCTACCCAAAGTAAAATTTAATCATATTATTTCCTTCATAAAAATCACGTAAAACCCTACTTTTTCCTTTCAGAATATCCAAATTCTTCATTTATCATGGCTTATCGTACACTTTATTTAATAATATCTTCCACTATTTAACACACATATCTTAGTTTTGGGGTTTTACCTTTAGAAACTGTCCTCATACTGCAGTGCATGTCTCTGTTCAAGGATGTTCACGGTAGGAATATTGTCACCTTGAGTAGAATCTAAGTGTATATAGCAACTGGGTCTGATTAAATACATAATGATACGTCCCTAATAAGGTGCACAAAAGAACATAGAGCATGATCCCATTTTTGTAAAATATTCAGTAATTCTAGATTTTTATGTATGTATAGGAAATTTTAGGAAAGACATATTTCAAACACAATAAAAGCTAGAAATTGGAACCACATTTTCTTCTAAGAGTTTTATGGTTTTACCTATAGGCAAGATACAGGATCTAATTTATTTCTAAATGAACAGCCAATTGCCTCAAGAATGATTTTCTTCCTCACAAATTTGAAATGCTACTTTTATCCTATAAATTCTCATTTATACATGGTCCTCATTCAGGAGTTCATTCAGTTCTACTAATTTTAATCTACTCCAGGAACAGCACCAAATACTGTAAATAAATACAGCTCTGTGTTTTGGTGTCTGGAAGGGCAAATCCTCTCATTATTCTTTTCTAAAACATTTTTCCATAAATATTTTTCTAAACAAACTTTAGAATTAGTGTATTGAGTTCCAAAATTCTTAAATAAAAATTAAAAATCCTGAAGTTCTAAAATAAATTAAATTTGTAGATTAATTGAGGGAAACTTGACTTTTGGACAAAATTGAAGTCTCCCCACCGAGGAATGTGCATATCTCTAATTTATTCTGGTCTTTTAGTTTTTAAAACTTCAGCTGAGTAATTTTTTTTTTTTTTACTTTTAGGTATTTTAGTTCTCATTATTACTTCAGAAAGAATACAAGTTCTTTTTTTAAAAAAATTATATTTTAAGATTTATATTGCTGGCATATACTTCATACTTCAATCAGCCAGCCCATCTTACTCAAATCTCATACGTAATTTCATAAAGCCATAATTATCTGACTTCCTTAGGGTCCTGTGTATCAACAAATGCCATGTTATAAAATAATGTAGCTGAAAAGCAAACGAAACAAAAAATATGCTATTCTTAATTCACACCGTATTCATTCCATTCCCAAGCAGTTTGCAATCAGTAGCTCAAGAGCACAGAAGAAATGGTTTGGTGGCAGTGAGAGAAGTAACTGTCATCTAAGCAGACAACATAAAAATGGCACCAAATGCTACAAATTTCCCAAGTATAAAACAAAGTCATTCTACTTAACGTTAGAAATATACATTACCTCCTCAGGAACTCCCATTCGTTTAGCTGGGATACGCTGAAAGGAACTTTCAAACATGCTTTCTCCTGAGTCACCATAGTTGTCACTAGCAGTCTGGGAATAAATTGTTCCCTATGTTTGAAAATAAAGCAGGAAGAAGATAAAGTAAGTAAAATTAAAACTTAATTGTAAAGACATCACGAGCTGGTGGTGCTGCTCAGTGGTAAGTGCTTGCCTAGCATACTGGGGGTGAGGGAGGGCCCTTGGTTCCATCCCTAGCATTGCAAAACAAGACAACAAAAACACCAACAATTAGGTCAAGACAGTCTATCAACCATTATCAAAAATTAAGTGCCTTAAGTTTAATTTAAAAAGTTTACAGTTCTGTCAGGCGCTGATGGTTCGTTCACTCCTGTAATCTTAGCTACCTGGGATGATCACCATTCAAGGCCAGCCCAGGCAAACAGTTATCGAGACCCCTATCTCCAAAATAACCAGTGCAAAATGGATTGGTGGTTTGGCTCAAGCAGTACAGCACCCGCTTTGTGAGCATGAAACCCTGAGTTCAAATCTAAGTCACACCAGAAAAAAAAAAGTTGACATTTCTAATATTAATTTTTCTCAGTAATATCAAAAGTCAGATACTACCATCAACAAACGATCATCTGAATGCTCATTCTGTGACCACCCGTCCCTTAACAGCCAGCCAAGTCCTGTATATTTTCATGAAAGACTTGGTTTCTGAAGGGCACAATTATATAAGTATCTCAGTGAGGTACTTAAATGGACCGGCTGGGGAATCTATCTATTTTATCTTCCACTATGTACCTATGCTTCACAAGGGAAAACTGATCAGTGTCTATACAAGAGTTAGAAATGCAGTATTTTCTTGACTTTTCACCTCAAGTGAAATGAAAAAATGAATCCAATATGAATAAACTAAAATTTTAATTCTTCAATAATTCTTTCATTTATCTTTCACTAGTTTTCAAGAGCTTATACTACCAAGAAAATTACTTGAAAAACGTATGACACAGGATAAAGCTATTTGTTGTTAGTTTTGACTAGTGGTTATGGGGAGGAGGGGAGAAAAGAGGAATAAAAGTCAAAGGAAGAAATCTGTCAATACTAACTACTCCAAATAAGCAATTTGTAATAGTTTATTTAAAGAGGATGAAATCTAGGCATTAAACCTAAAAACATCCCTAAAGGACAAACATGAATTAATATTGGATTTATCACAGTGACATACCATTAAAATTTTTAAGAAATGCACTTTTGGAGGCCAGTATTTTAAGCTATCAACATTAAGAATGGAACTATAGTTAGTTTATGCTATAAATATTTGAGTGTAACACGGGCCAGACAATACCACATATGGAGGAATGAAGAGATACGAAGTTTCTGGCCATGATCCTGTAATTTTGATAGAGAGATTTCTCTACTAACTTCAACAAGTCAGTTCATGCTTATCTCTCATTGAGTAGCACAGATTACAATATCTATAGCTGTCATATAGTTAGACCCATAGACAATATCCACAGGTATTAGAGAGTTTCAGATGAAGAAATTATTACCACCTTAGTGATGACCAGAAAACATCACAGAAAAAGTAGAATTTGAGCAGATTTGTGCAGGATGAATGAGATAGTCAAACAATGTCCCTTTTGGAGTACACGGCCAGTACAACACCGAGGAGGCTCAAGCTGTAGAATATTTCACAAAATGAGGTTTTCAGGTTGACTATATTGGGATTTCCCTCTAGTATTTACATTATGATTCAAAGAAATTTTTTCTTAACTTCTAGTTGATCTTTAACTAAGAGTTCCTTCCTAGAACTCTGCCACTCTGTTTTTCTCCTAATAAAGGATTAATGATAATCCAAGAATTAACAAAATAACCTAGAAAAATTATTCTTTAAAGCAGTATTTTTTTAATTAGCATAAATTAATTGTGCAAAGTGTTTCACTGTGACATTTAATACATGCATAAATTGTACTTTGATTAAATTCACCCCCTCTATTATTTTCTTAATCCCCACTAAAGCAGTGCTTCTGAGCCTGTGCGGGCTGCTTTTTAAAATGCAGATGCCAGGACCCCATGATCTGGAGAGTAAAGCTCATATATCACTATTGTTTGAATACTGCACACACAACTCTAATATATAGCCAAGATTGAGAATCACTGGCTTAATTTAACCTCCTTGATCATCTGATCATCAAAGAATACTTCTGTAAATGCAAGTTTGACTTTCTGATTTTATCTATTTTTAAAGTACATCTCTTATGGTGTGCTAACATATTTGTTAATACAGACTATCTATGTTGCCATTAGTGACACAACTATCGACAGCACAAATGAAATCATAAGGGTACAATTTATCAGCAGATTCCATATACATTTACCTACAGGGGCAACACAATTGATCCTTACGCCACTGCTGGCCCATGACAGAGCCAAAGATTTGGTGAGGTTGTAAACGCCTGCTCTTGCAGCTCCACTATGCCTTTAAAGACAAAATATAAACATTATACTTAATTTCCACTGAGTACTTTTCTCATTAACTAAGCTGACAGTGCATCAGTGACCTGGCACAACTCCACAAGAACATTCTTTTTATGAGTCTCAGTCTTGTTGAGGCTGTGTCTAGAAAATGCGGAAATAACTGGATCCTTTAAGCAATGTCCATCAAGTCGCCACATGCATAAAAGGAGTATGTTAATGAACCTTCTATTACAGAAGAAAACAAAATGGCAATTTCAAGGGTTACAAATGTGATTATTTTTTAAATCAATTTTTTAAAATGAGGGATATGAAATTTATACATCTGAGTAGACATATGATCAATAGTATTTGTAGACATACCAGAATGTAAATGAATTTTACTGCATCTCCAAATAAAAGGCACAGAATGTTTAGTTCTGCATCTGTATGAGACGTTGCACAGAAAGTACAAACATGCTGATTCTGAATTTCTAAGTACAGCAGAAGCTCCTCAGAACCAAGTTCAGGTTGACTTAATGTGGAAAGATCAACTTACATAACTAATTAGGAAAGTTCCACTTTGGGGACGAAATGACCAACACATTCTACCCATTTGACAGTTCTCATGCTCCACTCCTGTGTGCTCCTGGAGAATGCGGGTAGTACCTGACGAGTATTTGCGTTATGTGCCCTGCACTGTACTGGGGCCACAGTATATTTCTAAGAACTATTGATAAAGTAAGTGAGAGACAACCAACATTTCCCACTTGTCCCTTAAAAGCTAAAATTTCAAAACAAGGAATACTCAAACTCTGACTCTTACCCTCTCTTTCTATTGTGGAAAACACCTAGTGTTTTTTTCAAATTATAAAATACAAAACAATACTAATAATGAAATAAACTTAACAAGTAATAAATAAGCACTTGCCAAACATAAAATATGAGTAGAACACAATAAAATAGAATATATCAGAGTGTACCAAACGTAGCAGATTTGTCCCATGAATTTCTTTTTTGTTTTGGTTATAGACACACACACATGCACACACATGAGGTGAAGACATAAAATTTATTTCTTACCATGTGACATGGTAAAAAGTATGAAAGCCAATGGAAAAGGCAACCACTCTTAGAAGAACAAAAGCAAAAAATATCTGTCATTGGGATCCCTATTTATTTAGGCCTGGCAATGGCAGCACATCATGGTATGAGTGCCTGTCAGGGCAAATGCTCACACTTCAAGCTTGGAAGCAGACAGACTGGGAAAGAGACTGGGGTCCCACAATCCCTTTTGAGAGCACACACCCAGGGACCTAAGGATCTCCCATTAGGCCTCACCTCTTAAAGTCAACAGCACCTCCCAATACCGCTGTGCTAGAAGGCAATCCTTTCCATGTGGACCTTTGAAGGACAGTCATTCAAACCACAGCAGTCAGAAAATGGTTAAATTATACTCTATGATTTACAGAGTGGCATAGTAGACAGCCACAAAAGATAAATGTTGCTAGACACTGTTAAGAAAATATCTCCAAGACATATTGTGCATTAAAGAACATCAGCATGATGTAGATGGAGCTCAGTGGAATAGCACTTGCCTAGCATGTGTGGGCCCTGGGTTCAGTCCCGAGCACACACACACACACACAATGTACAAAATAGCAAGACACATAACAGTGTTTATAGTAAACTATAATTTTTAATTAAAAAGTTGAAAAAAGGGCCCAGCACTGGTGGCTCACACCTGTCATCCCTGGTACATGGGAAGCTGAGATTGGGAGAATTACAGTTCCAGGCCAGTCCAAGTAAAAAAAGTTCACAAGACCCAATCTCAACAGAAAAAAACTGGGTGTGGCGGCAGGTCTATCATCCCAATGATGATAGAAAACATAAACCAAGCTAGCCTGGGCAAAAGCAAGATCTTATCTCAAAATTGACAAGAGAAAAAAGGGCTGTAGAAGTGGCTCAAGTGGTAAAGCACCTGCCTACAAAGTGTAAAGCCCTGAGTTCAAACCCAATACTGCCAAAAAACAAAGGAAAAAGATATGTTCAAAAACTAATAATAATAATTTCCCTGTGTGAATGGGAAATGACAGAAAGAACTATAATCTGAACAGACTAGAAAGGTAAACACATACCTAAGAATAAAGGACAGGAAAAGGAAGCACAGTGGCATTCGTAATTTTTGGTAACATCACCTTGATTGCCTCTTGGGGAATCAAGTCCATGTGCAAGTCCATGTGCAAGTCCATGTACAAGTGTGTTCCTCATGCCTCAGGCCCACTGCACACAGAGCAACCCCATTTACACAGTGTTTGGTTGATAACTGTGTGTGTGACCCAAGGAAGGTCAGCTAATGACAATCTCCTCTGGGACTTGTTGATAGTAGCCTTCTCCCTTTTTCCCCTTCTTCCCCTTCTCCTCCTTCTTTCTTTTTTGTCCTTGGCACTGTTTGAGAAGCACTCTTATCCAAGTTAGGAACACTAGAGTATTGGCAGCCTCCTTCTGCTACTACTGTCTTGTCCACATGTAGCAAGAGACTGCCTGAGAATGAAGGTGGACCTGAAGCAAAAACAAGGAGAGGCAGCTTCCCAATGGCATGCCTGCAACCTACCATACCTCTAGTTCAGTGGTCTTGCATGGACCTGGAGGCTGTGCACACAGTCTTATGACCCTGCTCCCAGTGCTTCTAGTGCAGCAGACCTTGAGGGGGCTGGAAAATGTGGGTTCTAACAAGTCCCAAGATGAGGCTGGTGCTGCTGATCCAGAAATGACACCTAGAGGACCACTGATCTAGCCTGAATTTTGTTTTTATCACCTACAACTGAGGAAGTCCTGAATAATGAAAGAAGCAAGGAGGATATTAGAATTTGCCTAGAGGTAGCAAACTCTCTATTTGTACAGTGACTAGTTAGAAGTACAAAACCCTAAAAACTTAGAGAAAAAATTCTGAGTTTCTGTTGGGAGTCACAATTTAGTAGTCCTAAGATCAAACAGGTCTATAAATGGTTTTCAAATCTAAATTACCTCAGGTCAATTTTACGTCCACAGCTTAACAAAGAAGCTGTGTCATGGCCAATTTAGTAACATCTATATTAGAGTTGTCACATAAAATATAGTTGCTAGTTAAATATGAATTTCAGATAAATAATGAATAACTTTTTAACATAAATTTGCCTCCATACAATATTTGGGACATACTTATACTAAAAATTTATTTAACTGGGTATCCTGTTTTTTCCTCCCTTTCTCAGTAAATATAGCAACCTAATCTGAATGGACATGTTTTAAAAGTACATTTTTAAAGTTCAAATAAAAGGGAATGCTAAGTATTGAAGTCACAGCCTACTAAAGGGATGAATCATATTAAATAATTTTCTCTACCTGCATCCCCCCATTCAAAGGACAAAACCCAAAGACAGAGGAAAAAAAAATATAAAATGCTTACGGAGCTATTGGAAATCCATTTCTAAGAAGGATAATGATATTAACAATAGATCCTCCATGCTCTTTCATCCAGGAATTGTAAACTGCAGAACACAGACAAATGACATTCATATTAAATAGTGTCCTAACTCTTCTCTGATAACCTGTTCAAGCCCACTGCCTATTTTATATGCATTAAATTTTAATTTACATTACATCTCAACCATAGCTGGGCCTGGTGGTACACACTTGTCATCCCAGGTATGCAGGAAGCCTAAATAAATAAATAGGAGGGTCATAATCCTCCTATTTTTTTGCCCATCCAAGCAAAAAAATGCAGACTTTATGCCCAAAATAACTAAAGCATAAAGGACTAGAGGCATGGTCCAAGTGGTAGAGCAAGGAGAAGGCCCTGAGTCCTACTCTCAATATTGAAAAAAAAAAAGACTATAAATTATAGGAAATTATTTTTATATGTGTACTCTCAAGGTAAGAGCAAAACAAAACAAGAACCCTCTTTTCATTGTGAGAAAAGAAGATACAAATACAGAATAGGAAAAAGTGAGGAGAAGTTGGTGGCGGTGGATTTGAGTTATCATTATGAATGCATTATTTTTCTCACTGTACTATCAAAAATGCCAAATGTATACAAAAAGAAACAGAATTCAATCACTTTGGATTAGTGATTGTTTCTTTTCAGTGGACAGGTTAGGAAATACATATTTAAATGAAAAACTGTATCTTGGATCTATACTAATACTTCCTATTTAATTAAGGCAGCCTCATCTGACTATATTCATTTCTTCTTTCTCTACATGTAACAACCCAGATTTAATTACCCTGATTCAACATTACCAATTCATAGCCAGTCTTGTTTAAGCTATATCCCTACTCATTTGTTCACCTCTTGGATAATTCTGGAAGCCAATATTAGACATTTTATTTCATCTGTAAATATTTCCATATTTATCTCTGAATAAAAGGAAAAATTTTAACCATTAATACACTTAATTAACAATGTCTATCAACTATCATCAAATATCTACTCAAGTGTTCACAGTTCCCTGATTGTGTAATAATTTCTTAGCTGTGTGTTTATAGAAATCAAGCTGTAAGACTCACATTACATTGGTTGATATGTCTCTTCTTCTCATTTTGTTTAGTTTTCCTTCTATGTCTTCTCCCTCCACTACTTGTAGTCTATTTGTTAAAGTAGCTGGAATGCCTTGTCATTATTTTCCATCTGGATTTTGTCAACTGTACCCTGTGGCATCATTCAACCTGTACTCTGTCCCCTGCATGTCCTACAACATGGCAGATTCAGGTATGATGCACAGGCATTCATGAGTGTGTATGTATGTAAAAGAGGGAGCAAGAGCAGAGAGAGAAAGAATACTTCATAGTTGATACTGTGTACTTCCATCAGGAACACATCTGATTATCTTTTGTGATATGGTGTTACTCTGCAATTGGTTATTGTTGCCTTAAATCCAGTAATTCATTAAGGAGGTGAAAATGGTTTCTTCATTTATTACCATGATCTATTTGATGTACAGTTTGTACACAAAAGGCAGAATAATTCTCTTTATTGGTTATCAAAAGAATGACTTGATTCCCTGGCACCCACCAAAAATAACTATTTTTTTCTTAGGCTAATTTTGAACACATGAATTGAAGCATAACTGGTCTGACTCAATCCAGTGCACAGTCATCTTAATTAATTAGACTTAAGTTACCATTTTCAGCCAATGAAGAGCTACTCAAGATGGCTCTTGAATCCTTTTAACATAACCCCCCAGTTTTCTAGACTTCCAATGTGACAAACTATTCCAGGCTTTTCTGCATATTTCCTTCCCCAGACCCAGAATAACATATTTCTCTGAAAAGTTTCAATTCCTTCTAATTGCAATGACATTTAGAGACCACAACATGCATGTTGGGGCACTTGGATTGTATGAGTGCTCATGACCTCACTATTACCCGTTGTTCCTGGATTAGTGATTGGCTCTTTACTTAGTGGACAAATTAGGAAATATTACAGACAATAATAAAGTTAGAAAATTATATCATGAACCCATACTAATACTTCCTATTTAATTCAGACATTCAAGAGTTCCATTTTGCCTCATCTATACCCATTTCTCCTTTCTCCTGTATCAACAACCCTGGTTCCCAATTATACTAACATTATTTATTTACTTTACTACACACTACACATCACAACTGTCTCAGAACAGGACCTCCAAAACTTCCACAAAGAATATGATTACTGAAAACAGTTTAAGACTACTTTAGTTCTTCTTGTCGTCTAGGGTATATACCACTATTTCCTATTTACTTAGTGAAAGTACTGGCTTCTATGGTCATTTGAAAGAATTACTTTCCCTGTAGTTAGGCCATCAAGTGAGTACACATGGAATCTAAACCCATGGGGTAAAAGGACATAGGAAAACAGTATGGTCACATGGTCTTAAAGTAGTACATCATAATTACTTACAATTTAGAAATACAAAAGGATATCTTGACGATGGAAAGATTTGGTAGTCGGAATCTTAAATAAGGCATCAAATTTAGTAAAAATTAAAATAGTAAAACTACCTTAACTAAAAGAGTCCATATGTAATGTAATAAGTATGTATACCACCTATGTTGAGTTCCTTCCAATCTTTAAACTGAATCTAATTACCACAAAGAGACTAAGAGGAATCCAGAATTTGGAACACTCTATAAATCAATATTACAAAATATTTTTAAAAATTTATAAGAGCATGGAATTATTTTTAGATCAGGTGAAACTAAAGAGACACAAACATAAGAATGCAATGTATAAATTTTGATGGGATACTAGATAAAAATAAAAGGGGGATAAATGTTAATGACTTAAAGCTTCTGAACTCCCAATAATTTCTCTTTTCACATTCTCTATGATCTCTCAATAAAGACACATTGATTTTTGGGCCATTATGACACTCACCTGCTTTGCACATGTAGAAGGTGCCCGTCAGGTTGGTTTCAATCACAGCATTCCATCCCTTTGAACTGATGTGCTCAGCAGTAGACAAGAACTGGCCTCCTGCATTGTTTACCAAGAAATTGATCTTACCATAAAGGCCTAAAGTTGATTTGACCAAATTATTCACCTGAAGAAAAAACATTACAACATTAGAAGAAGTAACATTACACTGTTCTAGAAGTGTAACAGTAATTCTGAGTACTACACCCAGTGAACATAAAGTCAACAAAGAATAAACCTTAAAATCCTATATCACTGAGTAATTTACCAGTGTCCAATACTCACAGATCATAAAGCTAAAATTGTCATACTGATGACAAGATACACCCAAGGGCCTAGATAATCCCTAAGTAAAGCAGGTCTCAGTCATACTAATGTGTAAGTACCAACTTTGAATAGTAGTCAGAATTAGCATTAAGAAATTCCTTATAGGACACAAAAGGTAATCTCTGAGATCACAACCTCGCATAGCTCCCACATCTTGTTTCCCTCCCTTTAACATCTCCTACGATTATCAGCTTGACAAAACAGAAGCACAAGAATCTCTTCACAGGCTCTGCTTCTAGTGAGCCTCAACTACCACAGGAGAACCTGAAGCTCAGCCAGGCTTAGGTACCACAATAGTCAACGAAAAGGAGTAAATTAATGATGCAGACAGTTGCATTACCTCCTCTTCTTTCCGGATGTTGCAATGTATAGGATAGACTTGAGCCTGGTTGTTGGGAGGCAGGGAGGCTTTCAGTTCTTCTGCAGCAGAGTTTAATCTGTCAAGCTTTCGAGAAGCAATAACCACATTACACCCTAAAAGGAAAACAGCCACAGAACAAGCAAATAAGCTTCCATGAGCTGTCCAAATTCCAACAATAACAATGTATAGAAAATATTTTATGTATTCTGCAAAGAGATAAAAGATGAATTAAAACTTCTGCTTCTCTTTGTAAATAAAATCTTAACATTTTAGGTTTGTTAAAAATAAATAAATGAATAAATAAAATTGCTTCTGGACACGATAGAGTCAAGGAACTAAATTTATACTCTTTCTTAAAAACAACTAAAAAAGTGGACAACATATAAGAAGCAATGTTTTTAGACTTCAAGTAACATTGGACTGAAAAAGCAGTCATCTCTGAGAGTGTAGAAATAATAGTGTAGCCATATGACCATGCCAGTTTATTGACTGGAGAGAGCTTCCAGATTGCAGCACTGGAATCATTCAGAGCCCAGAAGTCTCCATGGGTGGAAGAAATGAAGTTGAGAGTTCAGGGAGGCCACGGTAGCTGGCTCCAGAGAATGTGGGGGGGATGAGAGATAGCAATCTTCAGAGTCTCTGGAATCTTCAGCTAAGTACTGATCACCACATGGAAGCAAATGAACAGCCTGGAGAAAGAACCCTTCAAAATGCAGAGGGGACAATCCCTGCACTTACACAGCATTGGGAACAGTGTGCTGACAAGGAAAAGAACCTTGTGCCGAGTAAAGGATAGAGCCTCGGCATGGCTGGTGCAGTGGCTCAAGTGGTAGAGCACCTGCTAGCAAGCATGAGGCCCTGAGTTCAAACCCCAGAACCGAAAAAAAAAAAAAGGTGCTTGCTTGCTGAATACCACAGGCTAAACGCTGCTCAGATCAACACTTAACTTAAAAGAACTCTTGCAAAGTATCAAGCTATTTCTAACTTAACTGCATCCCAGAAAAAAATTTATATCTACAAACATACAAAATTGATCAGCATCCAACAAGATAAAGTTCTGGCATCCCCCAAAAAATTACCAGACATGCAAAGGAGCAGGAACATAACTACTCATAATCAGGAGAAAAGTCAACCAATAAAAACTGACCTGGCCATGTGCTGATGGCTCATGCCTGAAATCCTAGCTACTCAGGAAACAGATCAGGAGGATCACGATTCAAATAGTTCATGAGACCCTATCTTGAAAATACCCAACACAAAAAAGGACTGGTGGAGTGGCCCAAGGTGTAGGCCCTGAGTTCAAGCCCCAGGATCACAAAACAAACAAAAACTGACCCAAAGCCAGTGTAGTTTCACATGTATGTAATCCCAGCTCTGGGGAGGCTGAAGCAGGATCATGATTTTGAGGCCACCTTGAACTATACATTGAGACCCAACCACAAAAAAGAAAAAAAAAAAAAAAACTGACCCAGTGATGATGTGATTAGATCAACTACTGATGAAGAGAGAGAGAGAATGACTCCTTTCAGGAACAGTGCAAGCTAAAGACAGTAGAATAACATACTTAAAGTCCTGGAAAGATGAAAGTAAAAAAGGTTTGTGGATCAAGAAATCCTCACCCAGTGAAAATATCTTTAAGAAAAATGATGGCAAAATAAAGACTTCCACACACATATGAGAGCTGGAAGAATTTATCACAGCAGACCTGCACTGTGAAAAAAAAAAAATCAAAGAACACCTTCAAGCAGAAGGAAAATGATACCAGAGGGAAATCTAAAACTACACAAAAGAAGAGAGAACCAGAAATTATGTGAGTAAATATGAAGATTTTTGTTCTTTCTATTCCGGGCCCTTCTAAAGTAGTGCTAGTTTAAAGCCCAAGTAGTAACCACGGATTGCGGAATTTAAAATATCTGTGGAAATAAAATGCTTCCTTCTTGAGAGTAATAGAATATGGCCAGGAGAGGGAAAATGAGGTTCAGGAAGTCTTTTGCATGGCTGTAATATGCACTAATTCCAGTCACTGTTATTTAATGACACTAATCCTTCAACAACATAGTTCAAGGTTACACCACCATGTTATATTAACTGTAAATAACTGCATGATATACAAATTTCTCTGCTAGCTCTTCTGCCCACAAACCACTACATAAGCAATAGATGCACATCACAATCAGTGGCAATCAAGTAATTTCTTTCAATGTCTGCCAGTGATTGGTCCCCACCTCTCTGTTCTTCAGTGCAATCAAGAAGGCAAAATAATGGGGGCAATGTAACTAATGTACAATGTAACTTGTTACAATTGTACAATTCTGATCAGAATTATCACTATGAATCCCCCTACACAGCGAATGTATCCTAATAAAAAATTTATTTTAAAAAAAGAGAGCAAAATATGCAGTTGTGTTGCCTTATGGTCTCAAAATAATAAATCCATGTGAAGTTTACAAAAATGAGCCATCAAAAAAGGCACTGGCAAAGAAGATGAAAGTGAGCAAGGAAATGCAAATTGGTGACAATGGGAGTGGCAATGGGTTGCAATTTTAAGGGAAGGTGATTCTAGGCATGACCATTTCTAGAGATTGTAGATACACAGCCAGAAGATCTCAGTGAACACAAACTTATCAACATAAGTTGTGGGAGACCAGTAGCTAAATAAACTGAGAAGAAATCGTGACACGAGCAAGGCCATGTCAATGTCCTTTGTGCCAAGGCACAAAGGAAATGAGCAAGGTTCAGCAAGGCTGCCTTGCAAGAGAGGAGACTGAGGCAGTGGAAGTAGACCTTGATATGAGCACAGCTATATCAAGGGTCTCTTGGCTGACAGGCATGGACCCAGCCAAGGGGAGGCAAGGTTCAGCAAGGCTGCTTTACAAGAAAAACAGGACACACTGACCTAGTCAGGACAGTCTGTACTAAATAACAACATACCACAGCTGCTCTGTTTCTGCTGCTTACTGGACCCATGAGAACTTGACCTGCATTTTACCCCACTTTCCCATACATGCTGTATAAATAAATGTGCTTGGAGACAGAGGGAGTCACCAGCATCTCTCATCAAAAGTATTGGACCCACCCGATCCCAACTTTTCTCTATGTCTGTCTTTGTGTCCTTTTCTTAATGCCTAGTTGCTCCCAGTCAGGTCAAGGGACCTTCTCACGCTGGCCATGAGAATAAATGAGGAAAGTGGTCAAGACAAAGGATAAAGATGTCCCAGAGGAAGTGGCACTCACAAAGAACTTCCTATTAAAGAATTCCTGGGGGATTTCATAACATTGAAAGTGTAAAGGCTAAAATGCTGGGAGCTGATCCAGGATGAATGGTGACGACAACTTCAGATTTTTAAAATTTGGTGGTTTTTTTTTTTGGTTTGGTTTTTGAGATAGGGTCTTGTAGCCCAGGCTATGATCCTTCTGCCCCAGCCTCCAGAGCACTAGGATTACAGGCATCCACCACCATACCTGGCAGCTTTTGGGGATTCTAATTGCCAATCTGAGACTTTCAGAAAGCAAAGATTGAAAATTTTCCACAAGTTCTTTACAAGACAATCCTAACTTTAAAAGAATTCAGGGCTGGCAGAGTGGTTCAAATGGTAGCACTCCTGCCTAGCAATCACAAGCCCCTGAGTTAAACCCCCCAGTAACACAAAAAATAAAAAGAATTCAATTTACCAAATTTACATGTAATTTTAATCAACATATAATACTGTTAGGACACCTCTAATTCCATTCTTCTCTTGTTTCCAAGAGGGTCCCTATACTCCTAGAAGGGAAAAGAATTGAAACAATATACTTTGAGACCTGATCCAACCCTAAGTTTGGTTTCTCTGAGTCAGGAGGAAAACCTAAACTGATCAGTGAGATGGAATTGGTACATCTGGATCCATTTAGAAAAAACAAAAACAAGGGCTGGAGGAGTGGCTCAAGTGGTAGAGCCTTGCCTGGCAAGTGTGAGGCCCTGAGCTCAAACTCCAATACTGCAACAAAACCTAAGATGGTTAATGCCTGATTCTGTCTAATGCTTCACATAACAGATATAGTGAAAATATAAACAGGATGATTGACATGGACTAACTAGTGAGAAGTTTACTAAACTATCACTGATAACTATCTGAGCCTGAGGACTTCAGGACAATTATGTAATAAGTAACTATCTGACAGCTATCTGTGTAAGTAGAGTGGTACTGTAGCACAACTGCACAAGCTATTAACTTCAACTGCTACAACTTTATACCACATATAAACTTGAACGAGGGCACAAGCATAATATAAGAGGGAACATTGTAATTTAAGATCTAAGGTAAAGTTACAGAGCCGTAATATCAGTGTAATCCCAATTTTATAAATAAAACATACACATATATGTGTATGTGTGTGCACATTGTTAGAGTCATAGAAAATCACCGGGAAAGAAATAGGAAAAGGACAGAATGGGCAAAGCTCTTTTTTTTTTTAACCTTTTTATTTTTTGGCAGCTGTGGGGTTTGAACACAGAGGTGCTCTTGAGCCACTCCACCAGCCCTTTTTTTTCTTTTAAATACTTCGATACCACATGAATTTATTGCAAACCTCTTATACTACCTTATAGTAAATGAGAAATTAAATATAATCATTCTCTTAACACTGACACTAAGTGATTTTGACAGACTGTTTTTATATGAGTAGTTAGAGAGACTAAGAAAGCTTGAGGGATTTTTCTGGATAGAATAAAGTATAGAGGTAGCTTACAGGTAAGGAATGAATGTCCATGTCAGACACATGGAACCCAGTATTTTGGATCTTAATGTCCCCCAAAGGCTGGTGGGTTATGTATGGGCTTGGTCCTCAGTCCATGGCACTATTGAGAGGAACCTTTAAGAGGTAGGGCCTGGCAAGAAGAAGTTAGGTCATTGGGGGTATGCACTACAAGGGGGTGGGGCCTGGCGAGAGGAAGTTAGGTCATTGGGGGTATGCACTACAAGGGGATATTGGGATACCTATGTCTTCCTGTCTGTCTTTGCTGCCTGGCTGCCAAGAGATGAACAGGCCTCCTTCACAACACACTTACTACAAGCCCAAAACAACAAGGCCAAGAAACCATGGATTAAAACCTTTCCTCCTTTTACATTTATTCAGGTATTATTTTAAAAAGCAAAGCTACCTAATACACTCAGCTGAGTTCCTGCTTAGGATGACGCTGATTGCTTTTAATCTTCAATTGGGGCTACACTTACCAAGCACTTTCTATGTTGATGGTGACCTTGGTCACAGACTAGTCATTATAGTAAGAACTGCTGTCTTGTCTCACAATTGCCACTTGTATTTCCTCCTTTGATTTATTGTACCTTACTATGTTCTGTTAAGTGACAGAAAGAGAATGATTAAATTGAAGACAAAACTCAGTGTTTTGAAGACTTGAATTTAATTTGCACAAAAAAAGATCTGACTCGAGTGGTCTTTAGCATTCCTTGACACAGTCAGGACCCCCCTCTGCAGAATAGCACTTGTCAGTCAGACAGAGGGGATCCAATTCTGTCTCCTATGGCTGTTGAGTGTCATCTTAACAGAAGGAGAAGAAATTGTGTGGATGTGAATGACAACACAATTATCACCATGCCTCCAAATTCAAGTTGTAACACACCCTCCAAAGTCAGTGGACTTCTCAATGAAAAAGAACTGGCTAACACTATTCTATTTGCCCAATTTGGGTCTATCTAACAACTTTCAGGAAATAGCCATTAATTCTGGCAAAAAGAGTAAACGTGAGGACCAGTGGAGTGGCTCAACTGGTAGAGCGTCTGCCTAGCAAACATGAAGCCCTTAGGTCAAACCCCAGTACTGCCAAAAAAAACAGTAAAGATGAGAGCTCATAGTAAAAATTACATAATATTCTTTCACAGAAGTAAATCCATCTTCAATGCAACAAAAATTACGTATATAGAGCCAGGTACCAGTGGCTCATGCCTGTAATCCTAGCTATTTGGGAGCTGAGATCAAGAGGAGGGTGGTTCCAGGCCATATTGGGCAAACAGTTCTCAAGAACCCCATCTCCAAAATAACCAGATCAAATGGATTGGAGGTATGGCTCAAGTGGTAGAATCCCTGCTTTACAAGTGCAAAGCCCTGAGTTCAAACCCTAATCCCACTGGCTCATGCCTGTAATCCTAGCTACTCAGGAGGCAGAGATCAGGAGGATCGCACTTCACAGCCAGCCTGGGCAAATAGTTCCTGAGACTCTATCTTGAAAAACCCTTCACAAAAATAGGGCTGGTGGAATGGCTCAAGGTGAAGGTCCTGGGTTCAAACCCCAGTACCACAAAAAAAAAAAAATCCCACAAAAATTATGAATATGGGTTTTTCAAGTATGGGAAATATTTTTATAGGGAGATACTGCATCACTTTCATAGTATCTCAAGACTACAATACATTACTGTCCTAATGTTTCAGTTTATGGCTCAGACTGAAACATGCTACCTTACCTCAGGACTGACATAGTGTTCGGTCAATGCAAATTTATGAAAAAGGAAAATTCAAATACATAAAAATTCATTAAAGTTTCTTCAAGATGAACTAGAATCCTACAAATCTGCTAAAGGAAGCCAAAATTTGCACAAAACAGTCACTGATTCCTACTTTCTTCTGAATTTTTCCTGGAAGGGGATATAGTTTGTTGCTATTGACATAATATGCTACAGCAGGGCCAGATGAGGAAATGCTAATTTCCCTTTTTTTCTTATTAAAAATGTATGCATTTCCATTTATTTCAAATACAGCACATTTTTTTTTAAAAAAGTTCATACTATGTCAGATCTTGGAAATACAATGGTAACCAAAGGCATTTTACATGTCCATTAAAAAGATATTTGAAGGGCTGGGATACAGATCAGTAGCAGAGGCTGGTGGAGTGGCCCAAGTGGTAGAGCGCCCGCCTAGATCAGTAGTAGAGTCCTTGCACAATCTGCTTGATCCCCAGCATCAAAGAAAAAAAATTAAAAAATAAAGACAATTTAACCACTCATATTTAAGAGCTATTTTCAGTCAAGCACCAATGGCTTATACCTGTAATCCTAGCTACTTGGGAGACTGAAATCTGGAGGATAAAGGTTTGAGGCCAGCACAGGCAAATAGTTCATGAGATTCCCCTCCAAAATAACCAGAGAAAAATGGACTGGAGGTATGGCTCATTCAGCATCTGCTTTGCAAACTCGAAGCTCTGAGTTCAAATTCCAGTCCCACAAAAAAACTATTTTCAAGCAAAAATTGTTAACGATGTTAAAAACTTTCTTCCAGTCTTTTTTTGAATATATACTTTTTTATTGGCAATCAGATTCAAATACCATTTTCTTTAGAATCTTGCTTTTCCCCGTTACATGGTATGCATTTCTGCACAAAAAGTCTTTCATAACAAGATATTAAAGTGTCAGTATAATAGTTTACTCTTATGGACTAAACCACTTACCTCATCATGGCTATTTGGGGTATTCCTAATTTTTCACTATTCAAGTAACACTATATGCTTGAATACAAATCTTTGCTTTCATCATTATTTCCTCAGGGTAAATTCTTGAGAAATGAATTACTAGGTCATAGAGCATGAACTTTGTACAGGCTTTTGGAAGCCTACCTTTCTCACTCTCTTATCAGCACTTCCATTTTTCTCAATGCTTTTAAATTGTTAGCAAAACAGTGGGACTGACATTTTATTTTTGCACTTATTATCAATAAAGTTGATCACTTCCCCATACACTAATTTGTAGTTTCTCTTTTGGAACCCTTAGTCCATATCCTATTAGCCTGTTTTTCTGTCAGTATGCTGGATCTTTATTTGTAAGAATTCTCTCTTTCTCTCTTTCTTTCTCTCTCTCTCTCTCTCTCTCTCTCTCTCTCTCTCTCTCTCTCTCTCTCTCTCTCTCTCTCTCTCTTTGAGCTAGGTTCTCTCTATGCAGCCCAGGCTGGCCTTTGAACCCCCTGTGTCTGCCTCCAGAATATTGGGATTACAGACATGTGCCACAATGCCTGGCTTATGTAAGCACTCTTAATATAACAAGATTTCATATTTTATAATTTACTTCATCTAACTTAAAACTATATATGTATTTTTTTAACTCACCGAAGATTTGTATCTTCATATAGTAAAACTGTATTATTTCTCCCTTCGTGGTTTCTTTCCTTGTGTATTTGTTTTTGAGGTCCTTCTTTCACCCAAGTCGAGGTAAATATTCACTGTATTTTCTTGCTATGATTACAACACGAGACGTGAGAAAATAATATGACCACAGTCTCTCAATGGATTGACAACCTTTTCCAGCTCAATTAAATTGCCCCAGGTCTCCTAATTGCTGGGATTGGGCAACATTTAGAATGGATTAATTTTAAATACGAAGACAATTGATTTCACAGCATATTTTCACAGGTCTGCTTATCGCCTGCATCGGGCACAGAATCTCTGGCTCTAAACCCCTTTAGTTCGTACCTAGTGGCTGGTCGCCCTGCGTTTCTCCACCATTTCTTCTCTCTCCAGGTCCTAGTAATTGCGCTCACCTCTGCAGCCGCACCAGCGCCATCGGTTCCTGAACCCAGGTCACCCAGGCTGGCCTCTGCAGACCCTGGCTCTGGGTACCCAGGCCCAGAAGCCTGCTTACGTACCCAGCTGCAGGAGCTCCTTCGTGATGGCTTTTCCGATGCCGGTGGCCCCGCCGGTGACGATCGCCACTTTATGTTGCAGCAAGCCGGCCGCCAGGCAACTGTTGCCCTTTGTCCAAGAGAGCATGGCTCCGGAGCCCTGGGAATGTTGAGTGCTGGGAGCGCACGGCGTAGGTCACCCGAGTCCGCCGAGGCGGCGGAGGCTTAAAGGCGCACGCCCCACGTGACCGGCTGAGCTCCGCCCCTCGGCTCCGCCCCACCCCGGGTCGCGGCTCCGCCTCCTCCCAGGCTGGACCGCTCCCCTGCGGTCGCCTCCGGTCCTTCGCATCCTCCGCTGGCTTCTATCCCTGGGTTCGTGTGAGTGAGACGCTTCCTTTTTAAATTTTATTTTTAAATTTCAATGTCATTGTGGAGAAGAAAAGGGGAAATGCAACAAAAAACCCACAAAAAAAAAAAAAGAGGATATGCTGTGTTTTGGAAATCCGATCCTCAGAGCCATAGCACTCTTGGATAATTAAAATTAAATCTCCAGGGCATCTGGAAAGAGAAAGGCCGCAGCTCGGAGCCCTTGCTGCGTCCGCCTGCATCAAACGTCAGGCTATTTGGGTTCCAGCTGCAGTGTGCCACTGGCTAGGAAGGGGAGCGGGGACAAGCTTGACTAAGGGGACTGAAATCCAGCTTCCAGATCCCTACATCCTCAGGGAGGAAACCCAGGGAAAGGAGTGAGGCGAGAGAGGAGATAGGGTTGCAGTTATCCACAGAACCCCGATAATAAATGACTTAAAAAATAAACTCCCCTCATCTCCTGCGCCCCACCCAGGAATGGAGGGAGGAAGCAACCTTTACGGTATTTGAGATCTGATCCGTTTCAGCTTGGCAACGTAAGAAGTCAAAAAGAGGGTCTTCCATCGCAGAGTGCATGTTTCCTGCAAGACTCATCTATCTGTAGGTCTATGTTTGAGATCCTATCTTCTGATTTATTCTTTATGCAGAAAGTCAAGCCTACTGAGGATGGGGGAGATTTCTCATCCATGGGTTGGTGCCCAGTAACAGGATTTATTATTCGGATTCTGCTTCTTATTTTTGTCTTAAGAATTTGGCGGATCTCGGGAATGTGTCAGGTGCAGTGATCTTAGTCTAGGCAAGATGCTATTTCTAAGTCTGTTGCTAGAGTGTTGTAATTTTCCTTGCCGGGTGTTAAAATAATGTAAAAGTCAACAAATGCCATCATTTTTGTTGTTATTAGGTCCACCGCTTAAAATTCATAAAGCGAATTGGAAATGGAAATGGTTGATGATAGTAGAACCAGACATCACTTCCTCCCCTGGGTCCCAGACATCGCTTCCTCCACCAGCAAGGCTGCAGTTCTTGGACAGCCACATTATCTCCATCTCTCTGCCTTTCTCCAACCTCCTTTCAGAAACACTTCCCCCTCTATCTTGGTTGCTGATAGATTCCAATCTGCATTCATTAAAGGAAGGAAGAAAGCTCTCTGGGTTCCCATTGGCTGCTAAAAAATCCTTTATCCTTTTACTTCTAACCAGTTATGTACTTCTGACCAAATTTTTAAAAAAATACACTACCATAGCTACCTTTAAAAAAGTAAATTTAAATAGAAAAGTTTGAAGAATTGTTGCAGAAAAATATAATTCTTGGTGCTTTGATCCTAATGACTTTTTTGTTTGTCTACTTTTTGTGGTGCTGAGGATCAAACCCAGGACCTTGCACATGCTAGGCAAGCACCCTACCAGTAAGCTAAAGCCCCAATCCTCAGAGGATGCTATTTGTTTATATAAAATTTAGTTTGTTTGTTTGTTTGTTTGGTGGAACTGGAGGCTTAGCGCTCTCAAAGCAGGTTCACTACTGCTCAAATCACCTCTCACAAAGTGTGTTTTTTTAAAACCGAAAAAGAAACACTGACTCAATTCTGAGGGGTATTTGTTCTAGAAAATCCCATGCTTTCTTTCTTGAGTGTGAGAGCACTTTACATTTTTTCAATGAATTTTGTTAAAGGAATAATTTATCCTTTCTGTGGCTTGGTCTGGACCTGTGGATGTGTCAGGATGGGTCAGTGTGGGCCTGTCTGTCCCATGACTTCTGCGTGACTGGTAAGTGGACTGAGAGAAGGATTCCAAAGTCTTCCAGTGAAAAGGTGATTGGGGGCTATAAGTCAGTTATACCCACTGAGGATAACAAGGTGTCATTCCTTGACTCTAAGGAAGTTGTAGGATTAGCAGTCAAAAACTCGTTTTCACAATCCAGGTAGGACCTGTGATTCAGAAGTGTGGTCACTCCAAGGGATCTTTTAAGGAGGCTTGGTCTCTTTGCCTGTACCTCTGACCTCAGGATTTGAAAGTCTGCTAACCCCCAACATGCTGGTTGCACAGAAATTGTCCTGCATGGAAGCATTTTGTTTTCAGATTTTAATTCTGGTCTCCATCTCTAATCTGGGCCACCACACCATGCTGCATTGACTACTCCTTTGGATGACTCAAACACTGCTGTTCCCTGCACTCTGCATCACTGTCCCCTTGTCCTGGGGAAAAAGGCATGCAGTACCCATGTCCTTTTACACGCTGCCTCCATGCTCTGTCATGCCCCATTGCAATGACTCCCTTCTGATTCTGAGATGCTCTTGCTGCTCACCCATCTCCCTGCCCCTCCTCCACCCCATCTGCCTGGTAGCTTCATATTCTTCCCCCTGCAAAGCAGCTGCTGGCTCAGACTGACAGGGGCTTGTGGGATTCTCAACATGCAGACTCACAGAATCTCTGTGCTGATGGAATGCCAATGAGGCATATATTCCCTCTCCTGCCTTGAAGCAAGACCATCCCTGAGCCAGTTCACATGAATATGACTCTTGACCAGTTCACAATATTCAGCCGATATTTACTGAGCTCCTGCAGTGTGCAAGGTGATGCTGAGGCATGGGGGATGCAGGGCAGTCAATAAGATAGTTAGGTTTCCCCGCCTTTGCATGGTTTTTATTCTGGCACATAGGAATGGCAGGAGTGGAAGTAGAAGGTGGAAGGGATGCGTATTCCACAAGAGGTAGGACTGTAACCACACGGAAGATCAGAGAGCAAATATCAGGTCTTACATCTCTCAGTTAGAGAGGCACAAGATCCTTGTAGCCAATTGCTTCTGTTGCCAGGACCTGTTTCCTGTATAAATAGTCAGATGCTGCTAAATCTGTTAAAGTGATGTAACCAAACCAAGTTCATTTACTCTCCTCTCAAAAACGCCAGTGACTCATGGACAAGTTATTGGTGATACCAGACTGGATTCACATCCTGGTGCAGTCGATGATTGAAGGCACTGGACAAGCAGTTAAGAGTTAAAGCAAGTTCATGCCAGACCAGGAGTTAAGAGTAAAGCAAGCACAAAGTTTATTGAAAGGCTAGCAAAGCACCATAATGGGAGGAACTTAGTGAAAGACCTAAGCCAAAAGATCACTAAAGTTCAAGAGATTATATAGAGGCCAATTTAGGCACCCCACCCCCACTCTAATTTTGACACTGTGGCTATAATTGGCTGTCTAATTAACTTCTGGTCAAGCCTGACCACCTAGTTGCCCCCCATCCTTATCAGGCCAGAAATTCCAAGAGAGTCTCTTTAGTTCCTCCTGTCTCTGAAACCTGTTATGTACATTTTCTGGCTACCGCTTATCATTTCAGTGAGACCCCTTTTTGTTTATTTTGGGAAAGTTTGCTGTGTTACTCTTCTTTAGGGGGTCTGTATTTCATCCGTTTAGACGTCTGTCTTTAAGAATGTTTTATCTTGTTTCCCTCATCTAGAAAGAAAAACTGCTGTCCCTCCAGACCTACTTGCAAAGCTGGATTCTCATGTCTCCCAAGACGTTTTGCTTTTTATGCCTTCCCGTCTCCTGTACCTAAAACAAGGTTACTTCCGCCCTCCGTCCCTTTATATCCCCAGGGTTATTTCTGTGTTTGCTCCCAGGAACATTTCTGCCATTTATTTCCCCTCACAGTTGTCCCCTTACTTTGGAGCAAGGAAAAAGATATATTTAGAAACCCTCAAACCAAAGAAGATAAAGGGGTTATTGTCCTTAGAGCTTCATGTTAGGAAAATTGGGGCGCAAAGGGCTTTTGTAGGAGTGAGAGGAGGGGCAGGTGAGCAGGGGTGCTGTGTGCTAAGGGGAGATCTTCAGCATGTAGGGCCTGTGTTTTCTCTTCTGCCAAAATATCCTTGAGAGAACAGTTAAGTTTCATCTTCTAAGCAGTCCCTATGATTTTTTAGATAAACACATTATTTTTCTTCAATTTAATTTTCCTTTAATTTTTTTCTTAATTAACCAACAAGACTAGCAAATCCTTGGCCTACTCTTTGATGTTATCTGTAAATTTAGAGAAAAGTTACTGATTGGTAAGCTTTCCCTCTCTGTGTATTTTTAGTTTCTTTTCCCGGGAATAGCTAACCTTGCAGTTAATCATTAAGAGACAAAGGGCATCCTTTGCTGGTGAAAAGGGAGATAGTGAAAGCAGTTTTAATCGGCTAGACTAAGATATTAGGACACAAATAAAATATTACTCAGCTGTGTGACCTCCCAAATTAGTGAGTTTTAAACGTCAGCTAAAAAAAAAAAAAGTCAGCTAAAAGCAAGGGACACTGAAGGGTTTATTTAGGTTTTCCTTCCATTACAAGAAGATCAAGAAGGACCAAGCTGCAGCCTAACTGTACTCACCACCAATTCACAGCAACTGACCTAAGGCTGGGAATTTGAGGGTGTTACTCCATCATAGTTTTAGTTTTAGTCACTTGACACTAGTCTGGGCCAAATTCATTTCCCCCTTTACTTTGATGATACTGGTTTTTTTGAGCAGAACTAATGGTAATTTTCAGTGATGAAATGGCAAGCATTTTATTGCCTAGTTGGTGGCAGATCTAATAATGGTAAATTAAGATGTAGTTGGCAGAATCTGGCCATCCCAAACAGGTGCTATGTGTCCCTTTAGGTGACAAATACACAAATCAAAGAAGAATGAAAGGAATAGCAGGACTAAGGCAAGGCAGAATTCACTGTAATAGCGGCAAACTAACTTTAGAATGATGATGCTTTGCACCTATTCCACAGTATTCAGATTCAACATTGAAAAGGTGCAAAAAGCTCCTGAAGTTCCTAACCCAGTGGAACAGGCACACCCAGATTTGGAAACTTCTGTCCGTCAAGGGGGCAAATGACGCCCATGTATGTTTTGTTTTGGTTGGTTGTCCATATAATAATTTATTTAAATTTTGGCTAATCATAATAATTAAAATCAGAAATTTTGACATGAAATTTCCGGCAACTTCTTTCTCCAAGAAAGGAGTTGGCTAAACAGTGGGCTCGATGGGTG